ATGCAAAAGTGCGATATAGCATTTTTCTTTCATTTCCAAGTATGCAAACAGAATATTTTACTAGAAATCATCATCGTGGACAGAATATGCTAATTGATGGAAGGTTAAAGGCACGGATTCGATGAAAAAAGTGGGGTATAATAATTACACGAGCAAAAGCTGAGGACCTGAATTACAATTAAAAAGTGGTGTAACAATTATGATTATAATATAAATTACTTTGTCCTTTATCTAACTATTTGTCGAATGTCAATATCGCCCTTGGTCGAGTGTGTTTCAATAATAATGAGATTGATAGTTGCCATATTTTGTATTCAATGACTCGATGGATCACTATATTGATTTTAACCCTTTTTTTCCTTATTTAGAGTATTGATCGGGGTCGTTCTTTTGATAAAAAACTTCTATATTTAGAGATTGAATCTAAGTGCTCTACTCATTTAATATTAAATTAAAAGATTCGAGTCTAAATAAAATTGAACTCACTAATCGATTTTTGTACAAGTGCAAATAAATTTTAAGTTTAGTACATTGAAGCAGGAAGAATAATTTTGTTGGTAAAATGTACAATCTACAAGGGATACGTAGTAATTACTACCTTAGACAAATTGTGGTCCCAACGAAAAAATTCAAATAAGTCGAGCCTTTTATATCTATGAGTTGTCAAACTCTTAGAAAATGTGTGGTGTACAATATATAGTGGTACTAAATAGAATAGTCTAGAGGTAACGAGTTTGCCGACACTTTGTTAATTTTGTTCGATATTGTGCGATTAACTTAACAAATATGTCTTTAAAACATGTTTAAAAGTTTATGTATATTATATAAAATATCTTGTTTTATAGTTTTTATAGCAATGTGATGTAGAGTTCCTTTTACACTTTATTTCCTTACTTATCTCTTTTATTTTTTTATTTTTATACTAAAGTGGTGCATGGCCTTTTCATTCCATTGTGGAAAGTGATGGAAGAGGAAACCAACTAGTAGTCAATGAACCATGAAGACTTCTTGGTTGCTTTAATTTTAAGCCTTTCTCAAGGGTTTCTTGAGAGCTAAGTTTTGGGTCCCACACCAAGAAATCTAAAAGAAAAGTTATAAAGCTAAAAAACCAATTATAGAACTCAACTTTTAGCTTGAATTCTAGACAGATTGAATTACTTTTTTTTAGCTTTTAAATTTCTAATATCATATTGAGTCTTGAAGTTTGATCTTAGACGATCTATTCTGTTAAAAGAAATAGTCAAGTTCTCATAGATTAATCACTTTTTCACGTTTTAAACGACGTGAAATTACCGTTCAACACTATCCCACTTTGAAAGTTTTCGAAACGTAGATTTTGAAAGTTATTTTGACGAAAAACTGTAGATCGATGTTAAAGATTGAAAGTCCAAAAGTCGATGGCATAATCTTGGGGAAGAAATGTCAAAAGGAGACTTGATGAGGGCATTGACAAGCAATTTCTTTCATATCACTCATTGATTAACACAAATTGTTGCTTTAAAATCGGGTCATGCAAAAAAATCAAACTTGGAATAGATATTCCCACCTTAATTTGTCTCTTTTATAACTAACACATATACATAATACACCCCCACACAAGGATTCCATGGATTCTTCTTTTATTTTCTGAATAATCCATCACAATAATTGGCCCCTTTTAATAACAACGAAATAAAAATATATTAGGAGCAGGGCGTCAACTTTTTTTCATATATAAAAAATATTTTTTTTATGATTTTTTTTCTTCTAGTGAAAAAAAAATGTATCCTCTCCTAATTCTGTCGCTGCTAAGAGTTGGAGGGGGATTAGGCATAGCCGCGTAGGCCTAACAAAAAAAGTAGAAAAAAAATGAAAAATCTTACCTTGTTCAGAGATATGAATTACACATATAAATCTTAAGGGACCATTTTCTTCATGTTTCAGTTTTTCGTTTTGAATTTATTTTATGTTTTGTGTTTTGTGTTTTGTGTTTTGAGTGTCTATTTTGCAATTGTTGAAAATGTTTTCTTTTGATATTTTGGAAAATTGTTTTCAAAAATTAGAGAATGGAAAACGTATTCTTCCAAACCAAATCTCTGGCCTTTCTCTCTGTCGTTTCTTTCTCTCTTCTTCTCCCCTCCTCTCTATAGCTATAAACGATATACTCAAATACCCCAAAAATACACGACGGGTCTATGAGGAATGAGCAGCAAAGGTTCATCGATACAACCCTCAATTCATCCATGAATTCAACTGGGTCTGGTCGAAATTGGGCTTGACCTATTGTTGGGCAAGGTGCATCGAGGGAGGGGAGGATAGCCCATGTGGTCCGCGACCATGGGTCCAACGGCAGCGTCAGAATCTGCCAGTTTTCCAACCCTGTAGAATGACATGTTGTTTTGAGTAATTTGGAGCTATAGTTGGAGTCGTCTGGGGGTGGGCAATCGACCGGTGGTGGTGCGTGAAATTGGGTGTCGCCGGAGGTGGAGATTTAGACAGAAGCAGTTTGCGCCAATTCAATTTTTTAGGATGATTTTTGATTGATTTTGGTATATGTTTGGGTGGTGTGTTGGAAATGGAAAATGTTGTTTCCCGTATTTTTCGTGGGTTTGGCTTGAAAACCTCCAAAACGACGTTTTTTTTGTTTTGGTGTTTTGTGCACAAATTTTTTTTTTTTTTTTTTAAAA